TGTCTGGCGAGCGCACGCGCCCTACAGTGAAAATCTCTCTCAAAAAAAAAAAAAAAAAAACTCACGCCAGGCGCGTGTGCATGCGTGCCCAAGATCCTGAGAGGAGAATGGAGAAGGGATTGCGGTGTGACCATCCCCCCTGGGGTGTGATTTCTCGCTTTCTGTCTCTATGTCTCTCTCTGTCTGTCTGGCGAGCGACGTGCCCTATAGCGAAAACCTCTCCAAAAAAAAAAAAAAGTGCTAACCACAAAAGAAAGTAATGATAAATTGGGGCTTTATCAAAATGAAAAATTGTTCTTTGAAAGAACAATTATATAAAAATGAAGAGGTGAGCCACAGACTGAAGGAAAATGTTCAAAATTTGTAATGTACAAATACATGTACAATATGTACATGTATTTGACAGAGGACTTTCATACAGAATATACGAAGTAGGCTCACAACTCAGTAATAAGATCTTAAGCAATTCAGTTTAAGTGGACAAAAGACCTGGATGGAAACCTCACAAAGGATAATATTCAAAAAGGCCAATAAGCACACGAAAAAGTGTCCAAATAATTAATCATTTCAGGCAGATTAAAACCAAAATATCCCTACACATGTATTAGAATGACTGAAATGAAGATTGATAACACATATGGGCAAGAAAGAATATGGAGCAACCGATTTTCATACCTTGCTGGTGAGAACATAAAATAGCACAGACACTTTGGAAAACAATTTGGAAGTTCCTCGTGAAGTTAAATATGCATTTAACATGTGACCCAGCTATCGCCGCTCCGAGTCGTTTATCCTGTGAGAGCATATGTTCCCATAAAGAAAGGTAAATGAATGTTCAGATAGCAGCTCTGTTCAGAATAGCTATAAAGTGGAAACACCCAGATATCTTTTTTTTTAAAGAATTATTTATTTAGTTTTATTTATTATTATTATTTTTTAATTTGTTATATGGCACGTGAGCTCACTAGAGAGAGAGGGAAAGTAAGAAATCAAGCTGCCAGGTCCAGGACTCTTAACTGAAGTCAGCCATGTGGGAGTCCACTGCCTTCACCACACCACCTGCTGGCCCCGACAACCAGATATTCTTTAACTACAGCTTAGATAAACAAAATTGTAGTACATTTGCACAGTGGACTACTACTCTAAGTAAAAAGCTACCCATGTATCTCAGACGAATTATATTTGGCAAAAGACATTAGACAGAAGAGAATACTACTCTGTAATTCCACTTAGGTGAAATTCTAGAACAAGTAGAACTGTAGTGAAAAAAATCAGATTCTGGTTTTTGGAGCAGAAGGATGGCGAGATTGATTTGGAAGAGGCATGAGGGCATCTTTTAGGGAGATAGAAATGTTCTGTATTTTGATTGGGGTAGTAGTTACATGGGGCGTACACACAAGGGGGTGTCTTTAAAAAGTTCATAAGGAATATGAAGTTTGGAAAAACTATATATAGATTTCAAAAATTTTTTTGTGCACCAAAATAAACTTGTACTTTAATTCCATTTTCCAAGTACTTTTTCAAATATACACATGTCAAAACTCATTAAACTGATTCATTCCTTTTTTTTTTTTTAAAGAGAATTTTGCTGTCAGGTGTGTGCATTCACCAGAGAGACAGAGACAGATAGAAAGTGAGAAATAATCACCCTCCCAGGGATATGGCCATGTCACAATCCTTTCTCCTCCAGTCTCCTCTTGGGATTTTGGGCACACATGCCTGTTGTTAGTTTGAAGCGTCTAAGTCCAGGACTTGAACCACTGTTGGCCATGTGGGAATCCAGTGACGTAACCATTACACCATCTACTGGTTCCCTGATTCATTTTATGATGTGTAAGTTCAAATTTGATAAAAATGAATGATGGATTGAATTAATTTTAAATTAAAGCAATTGAGTAGAATATTACTCTGTATCATACTATTTGATAGTTTCCATAGTAAATGTTTTAGACCACATATGGCAGAATTTGGTGTATCTTAGGATTATCCTTAGCTTCTTTTTTCTTTTTGTTAAAAAAATTTTAGTTATTCATTCATTTGGTTTTAATTGGACCAAAAAGACAGACAGACAGACACACACACACACACACACACACACACACACACACACACACACCGGGGCGGAGGGAGGGAAACTGAGAAAACAAGCGACCAGGTCCATGGTTGGCCATGTGGGAATGTCCAGTGCCTTAACCACCAGGCCACCTGCTGGTCCTGCTTCTTTTTTAAATACCACAATCTTCTGTTAAAAAGGAATGAGATAGGAATGTCTTTAAAACCTTTTTATAATTTAATAATAAAGACTAATTTACATGTATTAGTATATGAAGATAGCAGTCAGTTAAACTCAGGTTTCTCCTGACTTGCTCTGTGACCCTCCATAATTTCCTAACTTTTTTAGGTTTTTCTTTCTTTATTCATAAAATAAGACCTTTGCATTTGTTAACTTTAGTATTCTTCAGCTTTTAACTTTATTCTTTTCATTAAATGCCTGGGGCTCCGTGCATGCCCAGGAGATGGGGGCTGAGGGGTGAGGGAGAGAAAGCATGCGCCAGCAGAGACAGGTCGTGAGCTAGCCCTTCCTCTTTTGTTTCCCCACCTTGTTAGGGTCCTGGGCACTTGTCACGTGTGCCTGAGGTAATACCACCAGGCTTGGGGTTTGAACCCTGGTTGGCCATGTGGGATTTGGCTTTCTCTTCACAGTGTCTAATCACTGCTGCCTGAGACCAGCCCTCTAAGCTTTCATAGCGTTTCTTTGTGAAATGATGTACTTACTTAAATTGTGTTTTCCTTTCTCTTTTATTTTAGTTTTATAAATAGATGTCATCGTCTTCCAGAGTATTTACGATTTTTTCCATTTTTTCAAAAGAATTATTTATTTTATTTTATCATCATCATCATCATCATTATCATTATTTAATTTGACTAGAGAGAGAAAAAGGTAAAGTGAGAAAGCAAGTCACCGGGTCTGGGACTTGAACTGCAGTTGACTATGTGGGAGTCTAGCACCTTAACCACCACACTACCAGTGGCCCCCCCCTTTTTTTTAAAAATTCCTAGAGGACATGTGTACTTGGCATAGAGAGCGAAAAATAGAGAAAGAGAGGAAGAAGCACCTCCCAATAGGGCCTGGTCACACTGCAGTCCCTTCTCTATCTCTCCATCCTGTTGGGATTTGGGACATGCATGCACAT